TATACCTTTGTACTATTAAATTTATGATATGGTTTTGGTGCATTATTTGTTTCTTAGACCAAGTGTGTTATACTTGGTTTAGGTGTTTTTTTAAAGGTTAGTTTGGAAAATTCTTAATAATATGTTTCTATTGAAATCTTTAAGTTTGTTAGTGCATTATTATTATTACATAATAGGTAGTACGGTTTTATCCTTTCGGAGGATATGAGCTCCAAAGGGCACGTATGAAGATAAGAGAAAAGTATACCTTTGTACTATTAAATTTATGATTTGGTTTTGGTATATTATTTGTTTCTTAGACCAATTGTGTTATACTTGGTTTAGGTTTTTTCTTAAACCGTTAGTTCAAAAAATTCTTAATAATATGTTTTTATTGAAATATTTAAGTTTGTTAGTGTATTATTATTATTACATAATGGGTAGTATAGATTTCTCCTTTCGGAGCATATGAACTCGAAAGGGCACCTCTAAAGATAAGGAAAATCTTACGGACTTATGGATCCTTGCTTTCTATACTTCTCAACTAATATCGGACTAAATGATCTTATCAAATGTACCATATAGTCTAATCCTGCATTCATCACTTATTTTTTTAAAAAAAATATCATAGTTTCTCATACCTCTTAGTGCCTTCGGGCATGTTTGTTCTAAAACTCAGTACCCTTCGTTATAAAACTCGCCTCTCGCTCTCCTCCACTATCGTCGTTAGTCTCACCTTTTCACGTTTGCCCTTTCCATTCTTCCTTCCTTCAATCACTCTCTTTGCCTTTTGCATTAATCATCTTTCTCCATTGACATTCTTTCTATCCCTTATGACACTAACTAAATTTTACTTTTAAAAAATTATGAATTCATAATTTATATATTCTTTTATTTATATCACAAAAATTAAAATATATTTGATAATGTTTAGATTCTTACACTATCTTTGTTGCACTCATAACGTAGAACGAAAATAAAAAGAAAAAAAATATTACTAGAAAGGATTTAACAAAGATGAGAAAAATATTTTTTTATAGTGGAGAAGACTTTTATAATACTTAAATATATTAGTTTTTGATGACTCCATAAGTTTAGAGTGAACCTTTATTTATGCTAGTTTTAGAACTTAAAAATTAGTTAACTAGCAATGGCAAGTGAACAATTTTAGGTTATTTTAAAATAGTCTTCTTCTACTTGTTCTACATTAATTCCCTCCACTTGAGAAAAACTCGTCCTCAATTTTAATTTTATGTTTGGAGACAATAGATTGTCAATTAAAATATAATCATACAA